CACTAGCCCCACCCACTTCCTCTCCTATGACTCCACCCACTTCCTGACTGTCGTCATGCCGACGCCCCCCCTCCTGAGTCTCTATAAATACACAGCCTGAGCTACAGGAAGTGACAGAGCCCACCAAAATAAGACAAACAGCTGAGTTCAGAGTGGAGACACAGAACGTTCTTCACTTTAAACTGGAACCAACACCTCGCCGCCGCATGCTGCCATGGACCAATCAGCTCACAGTTTATCGTTCACACACTGCAGAGCTGACCAGTCAGATCAATCAAATGTATCCCCTTCTGTTCCTGAGATGTAATGATGTCCCAGCCAAGCTGACCTTTGACCTTTATTATTTTATCCTGTTAGATATTTGAGTCAAGTTTGGTCTGAATCAGTGAATGAATTCTGGAGTCTAGTGAGGTCACAATGACCTTTGACCTTCAAGCACCAAACTTTGATCAGTTCATTACTGAGTCCAAACGGATGTTTGTGCCGAATTCAAAGAAATATCCTCAAGCTGTTCTTGAGATATGGAGGTGAAGAGAATGCAATGGATTAGGTCACAATAACCTTTGACCACCAACTTCTGATCAGTTCATTGTCGAGTCCAAGTGGATGTTTGTGCCAAATTAAAAAAACATCCCTCAAGGCGTTCTTGAAACCTTGTGTTCGTGATAATGAAACTGAAGGAAGGTCACAATGACCTCTGACCTTTTAATACCAAGTGGACATTTGTGCCATATTATTTTCTTTTAAAAAACTCCCTCAGGGTGTTCCTAAAATATCATGTTCATGAAATGAGACCATGCAAGGTCACAGTGACCTTGGACCTTCAACTACCAAGTCTAATCAATTCATTCTGGAGTTCAAGTGGATGTTTGTGTCAAATTTATAGAAATGCCTTCAAGCTGCACCTGAGATATTGCGTTCATGAGAATGCAATGGATGAGGTCACAGTGACCTTTGGGCACCAAATTCCCAAGTCCTAGTGCTTGTTGGTGCCAGATTTTTAATTTTTTTTTCTGCAAGATGTTTTTGAAATATTGTGTTCATAATAATGAAATAGAAGCAAGGTCACAGTGACCTTTGATTACCAAGTGGACGTTTGTGCCAGATGTGAGAAAACTCCCTCAGGGTGTTCCCGAAATATCAAGAAGAAATGACAACATGCAAGGTCACAGTGACCTTTGACCACAAAATTCTAATCAATTCATTTTTGAGTCCAAGTGGACGTTTGTGCCAAAATGGAAAATTAATTAATTTATTTTATTTTTAAAATACTACTACTAATAATAACAACAATGACGTATAACCTGACAGTCAAACAGCTTATTTTATTATAATTTACACATTAATCTGTAGTTTGTGATTTTGGGGTGAACGTCACCTCCGTCACCTCCGTCTGCAGTAAAAACTACACACACAGTAAATCTGATGATCAACAAACAAACAACAAAAAGCTCATTGGTTCAGATCTGACGTCTGATCAGTGACTTTATCATCCAGCTGCTCGCTGACCATCAGGAGTCTGCTGGAACTACTTTCTGTGGTGGATGAATACATGTTTGGATCTGTATTATGTGGGACTGTGAGTGTGTTGGTGGTGGTGATGAGGAGGATGGTTGAAGGAGACTCACGGTGAAGCTGTTGTTGACGTTCTTGGTGCTGGACTCGGCCACGCTGGCGTCCGTCAGGTCCACCTCGTCAAAGATGATCGACTGGAGACAGAAAACACTGTGATGTCACACAGAACTGACCACTCCCACAGCATGATGTCACAGCGGAGTTGCCAGGTGACTCACCTTGGCGGTCTGAGCGTAGTACAGAGTCCGCCCTCTCAGTTTGAAATATCGTCTCTTCCACCGCTGGAACGAATTGGTCTGTTTCATCAGAGTGCCCTCCTTCAACACTGTCTGAAACATCATCAATAATCAATACAGATATATTGAATATTAAAATTATCATATTAAACATGAGTCGTCTGGTTGTGAATCAAAAACCAATCAATAATCAATAATGAATGAAACACTGACAGACAGGAAATAGTTTTATTGCAGCAGGGTGTGTCCATCAGCTGACTGATCATGTTATTGATTATATTATAAATCAATCATCAATAACACAGATCTGTTTCTGTTTAATGAACATTCATTAAAACTTTATTTAATAAACACGACGACACATTAATGATTTATATTAAACTGATTTTACACTTTGTTGTGATTTTAAGTTTAGATTTGAGTTTCTATATTTTATATTTATTTTACATTTTGTCTTTATAATATCTTATACTGTATAATTTGTTATGCTATTTTTTCTTTCAGTAATAGTGTGTTGCAGA